AGCACCTTCGTCGGACCTCCTGGAACGAGCCGCCACAGGCGAAGCCGGCGCAGGTGCATGCCCACTGCGCTCGAAAGCTGCCGCCCTTTTCTCAATGGACTTACTGCGGCTAAGCGGACGTCTTCGTTCCTCAGTGGGGTCCTGAGGTTGCTGCTTGGGCACAGATGCTGGTGTAGGAGCTGTGCCAATCGGCGGCTTCGGCGTCGCAGATCGAGACACCTCCATATGCACGTCTGGCCCAGGGCTCCGAGAGCTCGCCTTTGGTTTCGGCGCCGGAGGCGGCTTAGGTGTCGGGGGTTCACTCTTGGCCTTCGAAGTTAGTGGGAGTGGGGGCTTTCTAGCCCCCTTCATGTAGAGCTTGCTGGAATCCTCCAGCATCTTGCGAGTTGCCTCGCGTGTGCGTTCTTCTACTGTCCGAATATGCTCCTCATCTTCCGCCACACGTTGAGCCTTTGTCTCGTCCTTGATGATCGGCTCTGGTTGTTGGGACTGGCTGGAGACGCCAGGCGCTTTTCCTCGCATACCAGGAAGACTAAAGAGCGCGTCTTTCTCTTCCTGGGTCATGGCTACCATTCCCCTTGGAGCCGGAGTAGGTTTCTCTTCTTCTTTCGGATCCAAGTGGCCCAAGATCCCGAGACGACTATTCACTACTGCGATCTCTTCCGGTGTCATCGGGTCAAGTGGCGGATGGCCCTCTTTAGGAGGGGTTTTGCCCCTGTTGGGGCTCAGGCCTTCGTTGTTTCCAACGGGGCATCCTGGCCTGTGATTCTGGAACGGCTGGGAACAAGGACCACGTGCAGCGTGAGGCCTATACTGCTTGCGAGCCGCGATAATATCTCGCAACTGGGCCCGCGCTTCTTGAATTTCAGGGCGGCGGATGTTTGTTGCAAGCTGATAGCCTCCACGGATGGGCCTGCCATCGCCGTCCCTATAGGCAGGATTGCCCAGGCCAAAGGCCGAGTGTTCCCCTTTTCGGCGTCGTGGGTCGTTGTACGGAAGTAGCTGGCCACCTCTTCTGAGAGCGTGTTCCTTTGGGCCAGCCTGTCTCCACTCACGAGGAAGTCGAGCCTGGGGATGTGGCTCTTCTCTAACGCGCGTATGGGAACGAAATCTTCCGGTGTTCTCATCAGAAGAAGCTGCCGATGCAGCAGGAGCGGCACCCGTTGGAGGTGCTTGAGGAGGCTCCTCTGCGATCCCAGATGGATCGCTCGATGGAGGCAGGTCTCCCTGCTGGGTGGAGCTCGGCGCAAGTGGCTCTTGTGCCGATGGTGATGATGATTCAGACTCATCAGGGTCGAAATCGACCTCTTCCTCGCCAGTCACGTCCATCATGAGGATGGTGGCGTCATCCTCATCTAACCCACAACCATCGCCTTCTACTTCTTCTGATGTCGAACTACCAATTATGATGGCCATTGGCGCATCTGGTAAAAGGCAGGTTTCCCTGCATGGCCGGCGTCTGGGCGTCGCTCGGCCGTCCTGGAGTAGGAGGCACAGTCGTCGGCTCAGGGTCATCGACGAGCATAGGCTGCCTAGCAATGTTACGCATGGCCGCATGGTTTGGCCTCATCCCCAGCTCCTGGAGATTCCATCCTGGCGGGGGAAGATCATGACCACGCATAGCCATTGCCATTTCCAGGGCACGACGCCATCTACCAAGGGAGTATATCAAGTGTCTCTGCACTTCCTGAGGATTTATACTGTCAATGAGAGTCAAAGCTGCCAAGAGTAGCTCTGAGCTACCGCAAGCATCATTATCCTGCTGTGTCATGATGCCAGCTTCGATGTGTTCTTGACTCTCAGGATAACCAATTGTGAGTATCTCATGCATCCTCATGAGGGTCTGCAAAAGGGTACGTGGTCCATATTCGCCTGGAGCAAGCGAACCAGGAGGTATGAACGGAATATCTGGTTCGCCTGCAATGAAGGCCTGAACAAATGCCTGAGACTCCATTTCGATTAGGTCTTCAGTGGTCTGGGGATATTCTCCCATCAAAGAGGGCCTGTTTCCAGGCGGGATTTCGGGCGGAGGTTCGAGGTTCCGTTGAACCTCGGAAGGCGAAGCCTCTATAGTGGTGTCCTCGTCGTCGCTCTCGTAGGCCATGATGTTGCCTGGGTTCCCGAACATCCAGTCGAAGAAGGAAAGAGGCTCGTTTCCGAGCGTACCGTGTTCCACGGGAGTGAGTTCATTACTGCCCATGACGAACCGGCGGACGTACTCGAGGTAATACGCGTATAATCCATGACCATACCCCTCGAGCTCGTCAATGTTGTCCATGCCAGCGACCCATGTGAAAAAAAATCTGTTCCATAGCCTCAAAGTCCTGGAGGCTCAGATACTCAATGGATGGTGTGCTTGAGCCGAAATGGACTTCGGACGACATGCCCTTTCCATTTCCCTTCGCTGGACAATCTCGCACAAGATGATCGGTACTACCACATTCATGGCATTTGAGAACCTGGCCGTCTCTACCTCGCGGGTTTCCCCGCCTACCTTTACCTTTACCTGAGGTCTCTCTACGGCCTTTACCGCGGCCTTTTCCCCCAAAGAATATCTCATCATGTTGTTCATCTGAGAGCCTCTGGAGAAATGCCGCGATACCTCGCCCGTTCAACCTCCGACGACCACGCTTGCCTTTACCCTTTCCTTTAAAACTTCTGCGTATCCTCCTTCTAACACGACGCACTGGTTTTCGTGTGAACCTCCTCCACCTTCGTTTAGCCTGTTGTAACAGCCAGAATAAGTGCTCAGCACGCTGATTGTCGTTATCCATATTCATGATATCTGACCAATCTAGAGCTTCAACACCATCTGATGATATAGTGTCTGTATCGGTGCCGGAGTCGAAATCTTCGTCTCCTAAATAGGTGGATACACCGTCGGTTAGGGGATTTGATTCCCCCCATAACGAGCGGTGGGGTTGTGGTTCTCTAGAAGGAGGGCTGGTTGCCCAGCTTGGTTGTGATCGATCCCCTGCTAATAAAGCAGTGGATTCTCCTGGGTCATCGGCCCATATGTTTGAGGGCCCGTTTCCAGGCTGGGCTTCAGTAGTCAAGGTAGTGTAGAAATTTCCACTACCAGATCCCCTTCCTCTTCCAAACACGGATCCTATGTTGCCAGGAGATCGTTCGGATAGGTGGCCTACCGAACGCATCCTTTCCAGCAACTCATCATATTGTTGTTGTGTTCGAGGCATTTGGTGGTTGAGTGGCTGTAAGAGTTGCATGGCTTTCTGGTTGCCGACGCCTAAGGCGCGGAATAGGATAGTGGTTAGCAGTTGGAAGTTAGGAAGGTCGAATCCCACCGACTGTGCCTCAAGTCGGGCCATTTCGAATCGGGTAAGAGTGACATCGATTCGTTCCCCGTGAGGCACATGGAAGTCGATGAGTTGTGTGCCGGAAGTGAGCTGTCGCTCATCTTCCAGGCGTTCGAACTTCATGCTGAGGAGGAACATGATGTAAGTTACTGGGTCTGTGTGGACCCCATCAATGTCAGCACCATAGTTTATAATGTCAGGCGGTACCCTCATGGCGAGTGTCCTCGCTAGGCCTCCCAGGCCGCGTTGTATTGCGGCCGCTTGGGCCTGTGGCGTCATACGTCCGCTTGTAACGTTGAGCCACGCGTTGACCTCGTAAATGTACTCACGAAAAGGTACATTACCCTGAGGGTCCCAATATGGGCCATGTGTTTGCCCATCGGTGCTGTTATCTCCCCGACGCATGTGTGCGATTGCTGCCCCCAGCGCGAACCATATGATAGCGAAAACGATTAGCCCGAGAATGTGTAACGAAGGACGGTTATGATGAGCGGTGTCGCGCTGGGGTAGCGCCTTGTCGAGTCTTCGAGGCGCTCTGTCTGGCGGGTTTCCCCGCCCTTGCTTCAGGTATTGCGTTATTGGCTCGTTGCCGAGCGGTTGATAGTAACGCAATGATGAAGCGTATATGGTACCAATCTGGTCGTCTAGACGTCGTACCTCTCGTGTCGCTTCTTGCTCTTGAATAGATCCTCGTAAATGTACTGGGAGTGGTGGCGCAGGGTAGTAGGTGGTCACGAAGATCGTGCCGAAGAATGTGAGGCTAAGAAGAGCAAGAGCTGACCACACGAGAGTGCGGCCAGCTCCGCTACCAAGTCGAAAGTGAGCCTGGTAACTCAAATAGGGCATATAGCCTGGCAAATAGCATCCATCGCTCTGCTGTGAGGGTACAGTATGAGGGGTGGATGGGTAAGATAGGATAAGATCGATGTAGTGATCTTTCCAGCACATAGCGAACACAAGCAGTGTCCGGGCAAATAGGGCGCGCGTGCCTTGAGCCCAAGGCAGCGGCGCGCGAGCTATGCTCCCGATACTGTAACATCTCCGTGGTCTGATATTTTGTAACAATATTACAACAACAAAAAAACCAGCCGCAGGCGGAAGCGCCAGCGGCGGAAGGTCGCGAACGGGCCGCGGACGCGACTAAATTACCTAACGCGCGCAGGGCCGCGGATCGGGGCCCCGTGGTCCGACGCGGAGCAAAAAGAAAGTCCCGCGGTGCGGTCCACGACGCCCGACCTCTCCGAGGGTGAGCCCCGCTCATGGCTTCAAGGCTACAGCAGGGGGGTCGACGACAAGAAACCTTCCAGAAGAAACCCAACCCCGAGACCCCAGGGCGTCCATCGAAGCCCTCCATTGCAAAACCATCAAAGCCCAAGAAGAAACCCAGGGCACCCTGGAGAGGTAAGCAGGGCGTTTCTCGGCGTGGGTCTCCACTGCACTCGAGCCGTGGCCACGAGGGGCCCCCCGTGGCCAGAACCAGCCACGAGCGCGCCGGTATCCCCTCTTCCGCAGTCCGCGTGGCCTAACTGCGCCCCTTCGTGCCCAGCGATGCGCGGTCATCTTTGGATGAAGGCAGCACCTCCGACCCCGACCGCGACGCGCGAGGCGTGCTCATCTCCGCGCTTCCCTGTGGAAGACCCTGGTATCGACCGACGCGGGAGCCGGGCAATGCGAGGGCGGCGCCGACGGTCAGGAAGTCCACGTGGAAGTTCGTGTCGTCGTCCTTCTCGAAGTCGTGCACCTCGCGGGAGCTAACAAAGGGGCCAAGGGGGGTCGCGCGCGCGCGGGCGGCGGCGGCGCATCATCCCAGGCCCAGCGATGGCCCGCCCGCTCCGTGCAGGCCTTGCCGTCGTCGCCGCAGCCGCCGCCGTCGCTGCCGCCGTCGCCGTGGCCGCCGCCATCACTGGGGAGACCAAGAGGTACCCATACCGCTGCTCCTTTGTGGGCCCCGGAAACTGCAGGGCCGATTTTTCACCGTTTCCAGAAAAATGTTCCTTGACAATGGAACTGGCAAAAAAACGGCGACCGAAAACGGCAAAACAACGGCTCCAGGATCGGAACCGGAGCCGGAACCGGTCAAAAAACGGCGACGGAACCGGTTTACAAACGGCGTCGGAACCGGCAAAAAAACGGCAACACGGAACCGGTAAAAAAACGGCCCTGTCGTTTCCAGGGCCCACTAAGCGCTGTTCCCTGCACCTCTTCCAGGCTGCGCTCCGACCAGAACTTCGAGGCGAATCTGGCCGCGGCGGCGAGGACATTCCCGGAGGCCCAAGCTGGAGAGAACGAGGGACGGGTCGCGGCATCGGTGCCAGTTTTCCCACTCTGGATCACTGCCGCCGACGGAGCTGAGCTGGACGCTTTCACGTGCGATTTGTTAAATATGGAGAATCGATGGGGTTGGATGGTGGCGGCTCTCTTCCTGAAGTGTTGGGCTGAGCGACGCCAGAACTGTCTCGGCCCAAGGCGCTCAGCCAGAGCGAGGCCCGTCCCGGGTTCGGCGACTCCCCAGGGGCCAGACTCAGCGCGTTGAAAAGCATCCTTTTCACACCTCCTCGCTCCGACGCCGTTGCCGCCGCCGCCGCCGCCGCCGCCGCCCTGGCCACCCGTCGCCCGCGTCGCCCCCCAACGCGGCAGGGCGCCGAGGAGCCCACGGCACGGAGAGGCCGAGGGCGCCGACGGGTCCGTGCTGCAGGGCTGGCCCGCCCCAGCCCCCCGGCGAGGCCGCTCCGGGGGGCCAGCGGGCGCCCCGGGCCCCCGCGGCAGCCGTCGTGCTGCAGCGGGGGCGCGGCCACGGGAGACCCGACCTGGAAGCCCCCGGACGACCACCGATGTTCGGCGTGGGGGCGTCACGCTTTCCTAGGGGAGCAAAAAAATTGCATAAACATACGAACTCGGAGGTCCGCGCGGACTTCTCGGAACGGCGCTGGACCCCCCCCCTGGCGCGCGGAGCGCGCCAGGGGCGGCGCCGGAGGCGCCGCCGGGGGGAACCAGCGCCGATCCGAGAAATCCGCGCGGACCTCCGAGTTGTTATGTTTATGTCACTTTTTTGTTCCCCTAATTCCACAGCAGAACCATGGACACCCAAGAAGCCCAGGGCACCCTGGAGAGGCAAGCGCGGTGCTTCCTGGCACGGGCCTCCGCGGTGCCACGCCGCGCCACCGCGCTGGCAGCGGCAGGCGTGTGTCGGGCCCTCTCGCCCTTCGCGCAGGAATAGCTCTGAGCCCCCCCCCGACACGTCGAGTGGTCTTCCGGGCAGAAGATAAAGGGGGGCACATGCGAACCCTACCCCTACCCCATACGATCTCTGAGGGGGAGGGTGGGGTTCACGTCGTTCGGGAGCTCCCGAGCGAAGTGAACCCCACCGTCCCCCTCAGAAATCGTGGGGGTAGGGATAGGGTTCGCATGTGGCCCCCTAAAGATGTGCCCAAATACGACGCTTGGGGAAGGACCTTCAGTGGCTTCCCCCCCCCCCCGCGCCCGCACAGCCCCTGGCACCCGCCCGAGCGCGGTGGCGGAACAGCGAGGCAGCGCTACTGGATAGAGAAACAAGGCACGACACATACAGAAACTTTCGGAGCTCCGCGCAAATTTGTTGGATCGGCGCTGGACCCCCTTCTCTGGCGCGCGGAACTCGCCAGGGCGCCGGAGGCGCCGCCGTAGGAGCCCAAGAAGTTCGTGCGAAGCTCCGAAACTTTGTGTTTATGTTTTGTTTCCATATTCGACACACGTAACGCTGGCCACGGCTATTCAGTCTGGGCAGCGAGCAAAGTCCCCGACCGGGATCCGAGAACCAGTCCAGAGGCCTAGAGCCACGCCCGAGCCCCAGGTGGTCTGCACCTGAGCGTCTTGGCTGCAGGTCGCTGGACTTTGGACGTTGCGACGCGCGATTATCTCCGCGCCGTCGCGCCCCCGCGCCACCACTTGTCGGGTGCCTCCCAGTGGGGGTGCAATAGAGGAGGGGGGGAAACGAGAGCTACAGGCCAGGGGATGCAGAGGGGGCCCGAAGGGCCTCCCTGGGCCCGCAGGGATGCAGAGGGGGCCTGAAGGGGTTGCAGGAGAAGGGCTACGAGCGGCGCGCATTTCCCCCCCCCTCATCGATTGCCCCCAATCAGCGAACGCTCGAACCCTGGGTGATGGCCGTCTTTTTTGGCCCAGGTCGCGACGCGCGAGGCAGCAGCGTCATCTTCTCGCCCGTGGGGGGACCTGGTCCCCCACCTCAGCTGCCATACCCATGGTCTAAAACTGAGCTAACACACCCGGTGGGCGGCCCACCCGGTCGACAGCTGGAGGACGGCCCTGCCAGGCGAGGCGCCCGCGCCCCCTCCCGACGCGCCCTGCGACCAGCAGAGGTGCCATGCCCAGTGCGACTGTCACGAACTGGGCGCGCATCGCCCGCTCCCTCTCGGGTCGGGCGAAAGGGGGTGATAGCAAAGGGGGGGTTTGAGAATCAGCTCACGAAGCTGATTTTCCCAGCGCCCCCCGGCGCGAGGCGGCTATGTATCGAGGAATGGGCCCCTCGGTGGGGCCGAAACCAGCTGCATGCAGCACGTTTCGTACCCCCCCCTATCCCAGTCCCCCCCTTTCGTCCGGCCCGACCCTCCCTCACAGCATCATCCCAGCCGAGACGAGCCACGGCCGCAGCCTCGAAGCCCGGGGGCGGGGCTTGAGCCGGCGGCTTGGGGGCAGAGAGGCGGTCGCTGGCCGTGGAGCGTCTTGGGCCAAAAAATGCTGCAGGCAACCCGTACAGTGAGGATGCGTGATAGGGATGCGAGGGCCTCGGGCGCCCGTTTCGGAACTTTCCGAGCGGGCCGCGGCCAACGAAAGTGGCCAAGGATGGACCGAGGAGGTAAGGATGCAAGGGTACCCTTGGGAAGGTTGCTCATCCTTACTATGCGGATTGACTGGACGGATCCGATCCTCCTCCCCCCTCCTTTCAGACGGAGAGACAACGGCATGGACATAAGCTTTCGACGGTCCGCGCGAATTTCTTGGAACTGCGCTGGACCCCTCTCCCTGGCGCGCAGAGCGCACCAGGGGCGGCGCCCGAGGCGCCGCCGGGGGGGGGGCCCGGTTCGGATCACAGAGATCCGCGCGGAACGCCAACACAGTGTATGTTGTGGCGTTTTTTCTTCTTGGACTCCTCCTTCCCCCCCCCCTCCTCCTCCCCGTCCAATCTCCCCCATTCAACCCCCTCCTCCCTCTTGGTCCCTCCCCCTCGGATGCAGGCGGCCTGCAGCTCCTGGAGGCCGCTCGGGTCGACGCCGTAGAGTTCCCCCTTCAGCTTCTCGATGGCTGCCGGGTCGACCTCGGACAGGCTGCCGAGGGGGGGGGCGAGTGGGAAAGGGAGGGAGGGAGGAAAGGAGGGGGGGGAGCAGAAAGGGCGGGAGGAGGGAGGGAGGGGGCAGGAAGGGAGGGAGGGAGGAGGGCGGAGGGAGGGAGGGAGGGAGGGAGGGAGGGAGGAGGGAGGAGGGAGAGAGGGAGGAAGGGAGGGAGGGAGGAGGGAGGAGGGAGGGAAGGGGGGGCAGAAAAGGAGCGAGGGAGGGCTCCGCAGCGAGGGAGGGCGGCCGGAGGCCCCCGAAGGCAGGCTCTGTGCCCCGCGGGGGGACGGGGCCTCGGAGGTGCCCCGTCGGCCCAAGCCTCGTGGGGACGGCCCCTGAGCTGCATCACCCCGGCGCGGTGCCGAGGAAAGAGAGGGGCAGGCCCTCCTCCTCCTCATCTCCTCCTCCTCCTCCTCCTCCTCCTCCTCCTCCTCATCTCCTCCTCCTCCTCCTCCTCCTCCTCCTCCTCCTGCCGGGTCCTCCTCCTAATCTCCTCCTGGCCTCGGGCTCCTCCTCGGGCTCCTCCTCCTCCGTCCTCCCCTGGCCGTCCTCCTCATCTCCTCATCTCCTCATCTTCCTCCTCTCCTCATCTCCTCATCGCCTCATACTCGCTCATCTCGGAGCGGTCCTCCTCCTCCTCCTCCTCCTCCACCCCTGGCCTCCTCCTCCTCCTCCTCCGGTAAACCTCCCCCGGGGGTGGGGCCATCCCCCCCCCTGGCCCCTCGGGCTGCCGGGTGGCCTCCTGCCTCACTCTCCTCCTCCTCCTCCTCCTCCTCCTCATACTCCTCCTCATCTCTCCTCCAGCTCCTCCCTCCTCCTCCTCCTCCTCTCCTCCTCCTCCTCCTCCTCCTCCTTCCTCCTCCCCCTCCGCCTCCGCCTCCTCCTCGGCTCCTCCTCCTCCTCCTTCTCGCGAGGTCCTCCCCTCCCGCTCCTCCTCCGCCTCCTCCTCCTCCTCCTCCTCCGACCTCCTCCCCCCCCCCCCGTCCCCCCCCCCCTCTCCTCTCCTCTCCTCCTCCTCCACCTCCTCCTCCTCCTGGCCTTCGGTCAAAAAAAAAAAAGCCCCTGGGAAGGAGGGACATCCCCACCTGCCAAGAGGGTTCGCCGGGGAGGGAGGACGGCTGCCGGAGGCTCCAAGGCAGACTCCGTGCCCCGCGGGGGCGGGGCCTCGCGGGTGCCCCGTCGGAGGAGGCCTCGCGGACGGCCTTTGGGCTCCAGCACACAAGCGTTAAGTCGGGCCTGTCCCTCTACAGGGGGTTGTTCGACGAAAAAAATACACCCCAAATGCCCCAAAAAGGTAAAAACAGATTCTGCAAATAGGTCCCAGACCATGTTTTGACTATTTTTTGGTGTATTTGTTTTAAAATTCTGTTCGTCGAAAATGCCCCTGTAGGAGGACACACCCGACATAACACAAGCGCTTTGCCGACGAAAGAAGGGGCGAGCCACAGGAAGAAGAGACATTCCCACCTGCTGACCATCGCAGGTGAGCGTTTCCTTATTCATCGTCTTCGACTTTGGCTGGAAAGAGGGGAGGGAGGGGGGGTAGGGCTCCGGACCTGTGCTCAATGCAACTGTGTGCAACAGTGCGTCCTAGGGGGAGGCCCCACCTTCTTGACACAGGCGCCAAAAAACGGCCAAGATCGCATCCATGGGTTGGCGGAGGGGGTGCGAGGGCCAGCGCCGATCGGCAAAGTAATCAATACGAAAACGATGACCAGTCCTGCATGATGTTCAATGTTTTAGCGTGGTTGCCGAGACCCGTTGCCACTGCACCCTGGCAGCTGGACATCTAGTGGCTACAGCTGGCAAGCCTGCGTGCGCAAGGTGACCAGCCATCCATGTTGGACCAGCCAACGACATCGCCAGCTCTGTCAAGCCCCGTGCCATCGCATCTGGGGTCGAAATATGCTCGACGACGGAGATCTACCGACGGATATATGTATGCCCTCTTGTACCACCGAGGAGGAGAAGCCAGAATCCATGTTTTCCACTGCGAGACCAGGCGCTGCGGGGGTTGAAAGCGCTTGGTGCGGGGGGGGGGGGTATAACGTATAACCAGGGTTACGCTATTGGGGAGCTGGGATGGAGTGAGGGGGGGCATCCCGCGCGTTGAGGCACAAAACAGTTAAAACAACTTGCAAGTCCGCGCCAAGTGCAACACGCAGTGGAGTGCAGCGGGAGCGAACCGAAGAAGGTCAAGCAAACACGCTCCAGGCCGAGGACGATGAAAACAACAGGGTGAGGAGGAGGAAGAGAACGAGGATGAGGAGCAGGAGGAAGGCGGTCGGTCGGACACAGCCTCGAGGCGCGGGGGCCATTGGTGTGAGGAGGAGAACCCATGGAGGAGGACTCTCCGCAGCGAGGAACCCGTCGCTTTCCACGAGCCCCCCAAGACCCCAACACCGAAGGGGCCAAGGGTGACGCACACAGACAATCACACACACACACACGCACACACAAACACACGTACACAAACACACGCACACACATACACACGAACACAAACAAATATGCACACATTCTCTTCCCCGCCATCTCTCAATGCTGTTACCGATTATGCTGCAACTTGACGCGTGTGCGGAACACCTCGCACCCCTCCGACCGAATACCCCATTACCCCCCTCCCTCCGCTCCTTTCCCTCCCTCCCCTGCTCGCCCTACCCCCCCCCCTCTTCAAATCACCTGGGCGGGGAGTGCAGGGCGGCTCCGACATGCCGCAGGGTGGAGCTGCAAGGGGAGTGGGAGTGATGAAGCCATCAAACCCCTCCTCCTCGGTGGCGTCCCCGGTGGCACGCACCTGCGAACCACGTCAACGCGCCCTCGCCTCGACCCTTGGCGGTACAGCGCGCGGGGAGCTCGAGGGATGCTGGAGTCTTCGTGGTGAGGTTTCGGGTTGCGCATTTGAAGGGGCCCCAGGACACAGAAATCAACACACACAACGACAACTATTCCCCATCGTTTCCCGTATTTGGGGTTTTTGTCTTCCCTCCCACTTCCCCCCCTATTTTCCGATATTTTCTGGGGAGTCGGCGATTAATTGTGTCTGTGCGTTTCTTCCCCTCCTGAGAAACGTCGACAGGCCCCCCCCCTCCCCCCCCCCCCCCAGCGCGGAGGCGCCCACGAAGCGCCCACGGGCGCCCACAAAGGCCGCAAACCCGCCGTGCGCACCAGGCTGCTTGGGGAACACGGGAGAGGGATGGTGCAGGCACTGCTTGGGAGAACCGTGCGCCGCTGCAGCACCGTCGGGGCCCGCGGTGGCCATGCAGGGCCACTCCCTCCCGCAATCCTCGACCCCCCTCCCGCTCACTGCACGCAAGCTGCCGGGCGCCCAAGGCTGTCCACGCTCCCCCGTTGGGTGGTCTCTGGCGTCCCCACTCGCCCCGCCCCCGGCGGCACCTTGTCGCCATCGTCCTCCTCGGTGTCGACCTTGGTCTCGCTCGGGGGTGTCCAGGTGGGCACCTCCAGCGCCAGGGAGAGGACAATCTGCGTGAACTTCTCCCTGTTGCGCACGAAGGGCACCTCTGCCATGGCGAGAGGGCACTGCGCGCCCTACTCGCTGTCACGTTGCCAAAGCATTTGTTCCTCCTCCTCCTCCTTTTCGCCCTCCTCTTTCCTCCTCCCCCCTCCATCCACCCACATCCATCCCCTCCTTGTCATATCACCCTATCCTCGTCATCGTCCTCATCATCTTCGGCTAGGTCACGCCCCACCCCACCCCTCTTCCCCGTCACCTCCCACCCCTCCAACACCCCATGCGACCTTACACCTCCTCCTCCTCCTCCTCCTCCTCCTCCTCATCCTCATCCTTCTCCCTCTGCACATGCTCATCCTCCTTCCTCCAACTCCGTTTCTTTTCTCTTCCGTGCTGTCTCCCGATGTCCCCAACTACCCGAAAAAGTGCGATGCACAGGACGAGGTGCCCGTGGCGCCTGGTCCCACTCTCATGGGCCGTCTACACTCCCGCCCCCATTCCCTCTCCTCCTCCTCCTCCTCCTCCTCCTCCTCCTCCTCCAGCGCATCCACTCCTACTACTCCTGCGCTACCTCCTCCTCCTCCTCCTTCTCCTCCTCCTCCTCCTAATCATCATCATTCGCCTCCTCCTCCCCCTCCGGGGAGTTGGCAGGACTGGGTTGAGGGGGTCCTGGCTAGACCATGTCTTGGGGCTCCTCGGGCCCTCCAAGGCTCTTAATACGGCGCCGGCGAATACGGGCGCGCGCGTTTTGCATAACAGCCGGGATGCAATCTCCCCCGGCTGTCAAACCGCTGCGTTTTCAAGACTCCTATAATACAACTTTTGAAACAACGATCGGCTTTGTCAAGTACACTTTCTGCAAACTGCCGAACCTACGAAATACCTATATACTGCTATTATCACTGTGTTGCGACATGCAAAACCTATTATGTATAACATACGTTTTGTAAAACGCGATTCCGAAATCCCGAAATACAGGAGTAATGCCAACAATAATCCCCACACGTACACAAAATTTAAGGGCGTCTCTGGGCGCGCCTGGTGGCGCCCGGCACGCGCGCGCTCCTCGTCGTCGCCGGCCCTCATCAAGGCGCCAGTCGCGCCTGGCCCCTGCCAAATGATCACGGGGCCCTTCAAGACAACCGTGCCTACCGCCACCCACAGGGACAACGCTCACTCACCCGCGTCACGCCGCCCCCCACCCCCCCGCACGTCCCCCCCCCCCCCCGCCCGAGACGGCCTGAGAGGAGCCGGAAAATCACTTCTAGATCCGCGCAACGCTGGCTCAAAACAAAAGCCCAAGGGCCTCATCCTCCCGGGGCCCTGTAGGACCCCTCTCGGGGCCTTCCCGAAGCCCCGCAAGACTTCCAAATAACCCCGGGACAGCTCAAGAGGCCCCCAAAAGGGCCCGAGATTGCGCACAGAGGCCCACAAAAAGAGGTACACTCGTGCACATACGTTGCGCCTCTTTGGTGGGCCCTCTTGGAGCGCTCTTGGAGCCCTCTGGGAATCTTCCTGGGCCTCTTGGGCCAGTCTTCTTGGGGCCTCTTCGAAGCCCCCCCGATGTCCCGAATGGGCCCCCAGAGAGTTCAACGAGGCTCCAAGAGGCCCAAGGAGCGGCCTAAGAGGGCCCAAGGAGGAGAACCCCCCCAGTGGCACCCAAGAGTGTCGGGAGCTCTTATTTGGACCCTGTTGGGCCCTTCCTATGCCCTTCTGGGACGCATCCCGGACCCCCCGCGACGCGCCCCCGAAGACCTGGACAAGCCCCGAGAAGGCACAAACCCAGCCATGGTCTCTGAACCCAGAGAGGGCGCCAACATATTTTGACCCAAAGGGCCCCCCCCGGGCGGCCCAAGGGGGCCCTTTTGGAACCCTCTCGGGCCGCCTGGCGGCTCGTTCCGAATTTCTGGAGGGCTTCGGGAAGGCCCCCGAGAGGAGAGGGCCCTGGGAGGATGGATCCCTTTGGCGGGTGGCCTCTCGAGCTTCCCTTCCGGCCCTTCTGGAGCCCTTTGGCGGGGGCCCCCGCGAGGGCGGCCGGCGTCGACGCGCTTCCCCGGGCCAACCTGTACCTGCCTTGCAAACCAATCGGCGGCGGCGCAACGTCCGTATACAAACAAAACTGCATTGGAGCGGCATGCCAAACAGCTCTCGGCTCGCGAAAGATAAGTGGCACCCTCTTCCAATGCCGGAGACACACCATTTAATGCATACAACAAGTGTGCGCACAACACATGTGTCTGCGCATCTGGTTGGTCATCTTCGCGTATTCATGAAACTATTTGTTTGGCATTGCTCCGTAATCGAATGTTTTTGCAAAAAGGCCTCCTGTCTGGGCCAACCGACGACACGTGACTAGAGCGAGTCGGCAGGAGCTGCTCACGCGAGCGCTGCGATTGCCGTCGAGGCGGTGAAGACCCCGGGGCGCGCGCGCCCATGGTCGACGAGAGCGATCCTACGCAGGCACGCCGCCGAAGGCGCAACTTCGCGCGCGCGTGGTCATCGTCTCCGAGCAGGCCTCCGATAGGAAACCCTGCGTGCCCCAGATTCTTGATGTAGAGATTCAAGTACTTGATGCCACCCTGTGCACGTCACACTACGACTTTCAACTTGATCTTCCCCAAGACTAGCCAGTCTGGAATCGCGTCGGCAGAAGAGTCCGCCTCAAACGTGTACCCGTCTTCCTTCTTGGCCGAGGCCCAAGACCCGGCAATGTTCAACTTCTGAAGACAAATGCCCGCGCGCGCCCAGCCTGACCGTTGCACCTCGGCCACCACGCGGAGCAGTGCGATCTCAGCGTGCTCTCAGCGAGGGATGTTTATCAACGCGTGATTGCCCTCCTGCACGAGATCGAACTGCTCGCCATGAACATTCTGCAGCTGGGGATCGCCGACGGCAGCCGCACCGCCCGCCACAGGATGCGTCGAGCTGGGCGTCGGGCTGGGCGTCTGGGCGTCGGGCTCGGCGTCGGGTCGGGCGTCGCAGCTGGGTAGGCTTTCTCCGACTAAACGCAAGACGGAGGCGCCGCTGTGAGGTCGAACGGGGTTCGGCCTGCCCCCTCGAAAACCGCGCAGCATATGGGCGCTTGAGCAGGGCACCCTCGAGCAGAGAGCATGTGTCCAAGATCCCCCCCGACTGGTACTTAGCCGTCGGGAACTTGGCTTGTCGGGAGAGGGGGGGGGGGGGGGGCATGCCAGCGGAGAGGAATTTGCAGTCCGCGCCGGACAAAACAATGGGGCAGGTTTGGGCTGGGCCCCGACGACGCTTGCTCCTGTTTCCCCCGGAGTCCTTGGAGGGGAGACGACTTGGCCTGAATCTACAGTCGGCGGGCAGAGTGGCCTCATCAACCAATCAAAACAATGCAGTTGCGGAACAGAGCGTCGAAACACCGCACCTCACATCCTCCGCGCCGGATGCGGCGCGCCGCCCGCGACAGGGGCCGCGTTCTTCTTCCTGGAATTGATCCAGGAGCCACAGAACCCCGACTCCTCCAAGATCCAGCTGATGCCAGGGCGCACGCCCTGAGCGCGCAAAATCACGAGACGGCGCGCATAGGGAAACGTCTCAGCAGCAACAGGAGGCACGCAATGCACCTCGGCCCGATGCTCTCGAAGACGTCGGGCGCTGTCCGCGTCGTCGAGACCAAGATTTGCACCCGATGCACGACCAGCAAGAGAAATTCCTCTCTCGAGGCTCTCGCGACGCATTTGTTTGCAAATTATTCTTCCCATCGCCCGATCATCGCGGACTGGACAACAGCTACCATGACCCTCTAGGGTCCGAGTGAGATCTTCTTGGAAAGCCTCTTGGTAGTGTTCCGAGATGCGCCCATGGAGCCCGAGGGGGTCGTCGACTGAATGGGAATCCACGAAAGAAACGCGGGGCGGGCATGACTCTGCGCATGTCTTGGCAATTTGCAAGAACTCGAGGGGGATCCACCCGTGAATCACATACTGTCTCGGTGAAACCTCAGACCTTTCAGGAAGGTCAAGCAAACGAGCATCTTCTGGCGGGGAGTCTGGGGACATGTCTTGAAAACCCAATGTTGAAGCGTGTTCTTAGCGAAAGACATTCGCTGCTTCAGATCTCCAAGTCTCTCGAACGGCTCCTCGCTGTCGTCGTGCTGGGCCGCTTTCTCGAACAACTCCAAATATTCATTGCGATCCGTGACCCATCTCGGAATACGCGGGAGACCAACCTTACCCCGTTGGAACTGCAGGAAACACGGGGATCTGGTCAGAGGATCCGCACTGGCCGGGAGCATTGCCTTGAACGCCGCTGCGGGGGGCGAAAACCAAGGAGGACAGCGGACGGGCAATTAGCGCAAATGCGGCCGAGTGTGCCGATGGACTGTTTCTGGATGCAACCGCGCGTGTATGCGACGCGATCAATTTTGGCATATTCGTGGAATGCCTCATGGTCCTTGTTAGTGTTGGCCAGTGTCTTATCCCTCACAGATCCAATGTCGATGCTGGTTCTCTGCTCGCCACTCTCGAGGGAATTAGAATCACCACAATAGACGACGCACCAGAGAAAATATGATACAGAGCACGCCATGGCAGAGGAAAGAGCCTGGGTTCGGTGTGAACGTTCTCACTCTGCAACGTACCTGGACGACCCGCCATACTTAGCATAATAGACCTACCAACCTCAATGGCTTGCCTGGGTAATGCCAAGGAAGAAGCGAGAGACTCTCCTGTAGTAGCCGTAAAGCCCAAAGCCCTGTGTGACCGACAGAAGCTCCCAAAATGGCAGGAATTCGGAAACCCCCGTCGGAGGCCACTGGGGTCCTGATTGGAGCAATGAAGCTCATGCGGACAAATCGTCATAGATTTCTGGAACGGGATTGGAACTTTGCGCGTGCGCTTGCTCTGCCTGCGAAGATCCTCAAAAGTGTTGGTTGTATCCACCAGTATTGAAACGATACACATGCCGAGGCGCATGAAGACTGGCACCTCACAGGCAGCCGGGGGCTCCGAGGGGGCCGCGTGTGCCAAAACAAAAGGTCACCCCTTGACTGAAACACCTGTGGGACCCGGATCGGTCTTCCTGGACCACCTCGAGACGAGGGTTGAGTCCCGATATGGCCTTGAGCCAAACTTGCTACGGAATTGTGATGGTGATAATGATGACGATGGTAATCAAAATGTGGATGATCAGGATGATGATCAAGACCTGGGTCGGCCACAAGGTCTCCCAAGCTCCAACTTAGCCACGGCCGAGTGGGACCGTGCTGCCGTGCGTGTAACTTTGTGAAGATTTGCAACTACGTAGGGCGGTCGAGCCCGACGGCGGCAGTCAACACCGCGATCGGCGCCCACATAAACTCAACTCGTTGGCTTAGCGAGGCGGGTGCCACTGTGGACGTAGCACGGCTAGCCCAGCTGTAGCCACTCCGCCTCTCGGTCGCCGACCCGAAGGCGCCTCGGCGTCACGAAGGTCCTCGCGTCAGCTGTGTGCTTCCCGCCGAGGACGTGTCTCGGTACATGATGATGATTAGAATGAGTGGAGCTCAAGTTTTTTGGGAACCACATAACGCGCGTTATGTGGCTGGGTGGGTTCGCTGGCACATAACAAAACACGTTGCGCGCACTACGAACAGCATACCTGTGCGCTAAACAGCAGGCGTTGCTGCAACGGGGGTGGGTGAAGCGGAGGGCGTTGTGTTAGCTACTGGGTGGGCGTGTGGGTTGGAGGCCACATAACGCGCGTTGTGTGTTCGAGTACAACAACTTCAGCTCGTGTGATCATCCCCTCTCGTCGCCCCCCGCCTTCCAGATGAAGGCGTAGCAGTTTGCGGTGGCGTACAGGTACTCCAGGCCCTCTGCCGGCGGCGCCTCGCGGGGGGATAGGGAGGGGCGGGGACGAGGGCGAGGAGGAGAAGCAGGGTGGGGAGGGGAAAGAGCGACGAGGAAGCGCGGAAGGAGGGAAGAAGGAAGAGAAACGGACGCCGTGGGGGCAACGCGATGCCCGCCTGTTGCCCAAGGTACCGGCCACGGCGCGCCCTCATTGGGTGCCCTCAGCCGAAGACCACGACGAAGAACATACAGAATGAGACGGAGGATGGATGCTGCAGAGCCAAGGGAAGGAGGGGGAGGAAAGGAAGGAGGGAAGGAAGATGGTGGAGAGGATGCGAAATGAACAAGAACAACACATCAAACAAGTGACGTGTGACATACATTCGCTGGCCCAGATCTCTCGGTACTGGTAAACAGTCTTTCTACTTCATGCGCTCGGGGCGACTCCTGGTGGTCCCCAGACGCAAAGTACCCCGGGCGGTCCGACCAGGAGACCTGTTTTCCTTCTGGGCGTGGCCTTCAGGCGCCCCAGAGCGCTCCGACGTAAAGGGCCCCAAGAGTCCCCAAGACGGTCCAAGAGGGCTCCGAGTCGCCGACCGATCGGTCCAAGACGCCAAAGATAACCTCCAGACGGCCGCAGACGTCCCCAAGACGCCCAAAGAGGCCTCGAAGAAGCGTCTCAAGAGGGCTCCAGGAGGCACAAACCATCGATTCCTCTATGGCTTTTGAAGGATTTGGGCGTACTCATCATGTTCGGCTTCCCGACGCTCGAAGACGGCACAAGAGGCCCCCCCAAAATAGCCCCAAGACGGCCCAAGAGGCCTCCAAGAGAGCCCCAAGAGGGCCCAAGAGGGCCCCAAGACAGCCGAAGAGGCCTCCAAGACGGCTCAATACATCCCCAGGACGGCCCCAAGAAGGGGCCAGACGGGGAACCCGAACGGACATTTCGAGCCCTCGGCCCCGACAGGCGCCCAGGAGGCCCCAAGAAGCCCCCAAGAGGCTCAGAGGACCGCGAGAGGCCCCCCAAAGGCCCCAAATAGGCTCCCAAACGCAATATGGGCTGGCGGAATGAGCGAAGCGATTCAAAACATTAGTATTCTCTCCTCAGAACACCTCCGTCATATCCTGCTCCTCCTCCGCCTCCTCCCTTCCCCACTGCTCCTTCCCTGCGTCCTCCGATGTATTATGGTCCGACTTCGCCTCTTCCTCCTCACTCTCATCCTCTCCTGTTAACTCTCAACATCCTCTCCCTTCTCCGTCATCCCTGCTCTTCCCGCCCTCCCTCCCATTCCCGATCCCTCTTCAACGCTCGTGCTTTGCTATATGTCCGGCTCCTCCGGCCGTGAAATGATCCTCATGTTCTTCCTCGTCTTCCTGCTCCTACCCATCGCATCATTACACCCTGCCTCGCGCAAAGATAGACAAAGACAACGGCGGGTCAACACCCTCGACAGCTGCACCAACGAATCCCAAAGAAGAAATCACCAAAGTCTGTCTCCATAAGAAGAATCACCACCGTTTCTCCCACGGGAGCCGTGATTATCAGTCCCTCCTGCACTGAGGCATGCTTCCAGAAAGAGTACGAGTCGCACCGATGGTATGACACAGTCAAACTCCAACAACCATAATCGCTACATAAGCAAAGAAACCTATCTTTGGCCGCAAAGGCGCCTGGGTGTGCAGCAATAACGGGCAGGAAACACCGTGTGACCGACTTCATCGCCTTGACTCCCTCTTGAATGGGGAACTTGCGATCCTAAAGCCATGACATCCCTGCCGATTGTGCTCGGCCAGGGCGGGTGTCACGCGTCAACACCCGCAGCCATGATGTCTTCGGATCTTGGTCGTCGTCAACCATAGTGCAGGGGGGAATTCTTCATACTCAAGCGCCCAGTCCGTGTAAACCAGCATACAGGAAAAACAGGGGGCCACCATTTGTGGGAGAAGGCGGGGGCAAAGGCGAGAGGGAGATGAAGAAAACGTTTGTCGGGAGCGGCCAAGAGGGGGGTGTCCAAAAGGGGGGGGTGCAAATCATGACCGGCGGCATGTACGTAATGAAATAAGGAGAGGCGCCATGAAATCTGAGGAAACATCATGGCCCGCGCCATGACATTCACCCCCCCCTAGTCACCACCCCCCTCTTTTCCGCTCCCGAGTTTGGCGGCTGCCCGACTTGAACTGGGGAGGCGGTAAGCAACCCTGCCGCAATAACGCCCTCGCCCTTTCCCAGAGGGATGGGCTCCGCGCACGGGGGGCCAAGCTGCGCGCCCACTGGAAGCCACCGCGAAACTGTTGCACCACGGTATGTCCAGCCGGGCTCTCCCAGAAGCGGGTGGCCCGTGTCAGGCCATCGCTCGGACGTCCATTCCATGTGTTTTGTTTTCGGTTTCGTGCGTGGTTGTTTCGCCAAATGATCCAGGATGCTCCTCGATGGCCCTCGCCGACGGAAAAATGCACACGTCCGAGCGATGCCAAGGGTATGTCCAGCTGGGCTCTCCCAGAAGCGGGTGGCCCGTGTCAGGAAGAGAGAGCTGCATCAACAGAAACTGTCGGAGCCCCGCGCGAACTTCACGGATCGGCGCTCGGACCTCACTCGCACTCCCTTGGCGCGCGGAGCGCGCCAGAGGCGGCGCCGGGTGCGTTGCCATGGGGATCCCAGCGCCGATCCAAGGCATCCGCGCGGCCCCTCGAAATCGCGCGCGTTTGTGCAGCATTGCCTTCTTCGAATGTCCGCCGCTGCCCCCGGGGCCCAGGGCTCGTGGCCACCTCCGCGACCCCGAGCGCCTTGGGGTCCCACTTCGCCTCGATGGGCCTGCGCTTGGTGCCCGTCCAGAACGGCTTGCCGCTGCTTTTCTCTATCTGGTCGCAGTTGTGCACCAGGTCCCTCCCCACGACGGGCGCCTCCTCCTCCTCCTCCTCCTCTTCTTCCATGCTCCTCTATCCTCCTCCTCTTCCATGTTCCTCTATCCTCATCCTCAACCTCCCTCATTGTGCCCCTCCTCCTCGTTCTTCCTTCTCTTCCTCCTCCTCTTCCTCCTCCTCCTTTTCCTCCTCCTCCTCCCTCCGCACTTCCTCCCCGACCCTCCCCCTACTCCTCCTCCTGCTCGTCCCCCCATTCCCTTTACATGCCGCCTCGTACCCCCGGGGGCATCGCGCCAAGAGGTCCTTTGGGCGGAGTGCGGGAATGTGGCCGCGGAAGGTCACATGCAAAACAAGTAAAGCCCTGGACCAAATTGTTCCGTTGTATATTTCAAGACAGCTGGATCCGTGAAGGTCCTGGCGACCGACATGGAACCGAATCGTCGGGGGTAAAACAAGTATGGCGCCGGGTATCCTGCTTCTACGTCCACCCACAACTTCATGCCTCACCGTTCCCCCCCCCCCCATCCTTCCTCATCCCCCCCTCCCCATCCAGTCCCCCCTCATCAGCACCCCTCCTCCCCCTCATTCGCAGTCCCTCCGCAGGACCCTCATCATCACCATTATCATCAAAACCCCTATCTATATCTAATCATCAGATTCTTCTTCAGAGTCCTCCTCATTCCTCCTGCTCGTCCCTTCTCCTACTTACCCCTCTCCCTCACACTCGATCCGCTCTTCCTCCTGTTCTTCCTCCTCCTCCTCCTCCTCCTCCTCCTCCTCCTCCTCCTCCTCCCCCTTCCCTTCCGCCTCCGCCTCCGCCTCGTCCTCCTCCTCCTCCTCCTTCTCCTCAGTCATTCATTCATTCATGGGCCTCCCTTGAGGGCAGCCAAATCCTTGCTCGCCTGCCCTCTCGCGCACCAGCCTCACGTCTGATGGGGGGCTGCGGGATCCTCGCCCCGACCCAGCCCGCCACGACCCCCAACCTGTTGGCGCGCTGTGGGGGTTCGAACCTGGTGCGGCTGAGTCGGTGCCCTTTGGCCAGGGCAGGCGATCTCGTCAAACAAAAAACTGCTTGGCGGGGGGACATGGCAACGGTCAAAGCGGCCTGGCAAAACCAGGTCACCTCCGTGCCGAGCCCCTCCCGCCCCAAATGAACAACTACAACACACCGCCCGTCTGGCGGAACCCCACGGCGCGAGTTCCAGGGCTGGCTGCGTGACACCAGCACCGCAAAAACACAGGCCGGCAGAAAGAGCAAAACACATGTATCGCCCGTCTTGCGGAAACCCAGGGCCCGAGTTCCAGGGCTGGTTGCGCAGCACCAACACCGCCAAACAGGTCGACAGACTGAAAGGAGGAGGAGGACCAGAGCGACGGTCGAGGCGGACTGGCTGAACCAGGTCCACCCCCGTACCCTGCCCACCCGCAGGTAAGGCTGTCCCCCCTGTGCAACAGTCGCCGCAGAGAAGGAATGACCTCGTCTCCGCGGCCGTGCGAGCATGGGGGCGCCGACAGCACGTTGTAGTGACAAGGACGGCCTCAGGACCCCAGGTCGAACCCACAGCGCGCATCAGGCTACCGCAAGTGAGCAATCTAGGCAAGGCGGGGCGACGGTCGGGGCAAACGGAAGGCCCACGCCCACGCGAGCCTGCCTGGCGGAACCCCTCGGCCCGAGTTCGGGGGCTGGCTGCGCGACGCCAGCACCGCTAGGCAAGACAGTTGTTGTACCCCCGTGCCCCGCACATTTAACAGAGAGAGTGGCGGCCTCCCTGAGCATCTGTCGCCGCAGGGGGATTGATCCTGCCCCGCGGCCGTGCAACAGGGGGGCGCCGTCCACTCGCAGGAGTGACAAGGACGGCCGCAAGGACCCCGGGTCGATACAACTGCGAGGGTCAGACTACCGCACACAATGAGACACCCTGGCAGAGCTAGTTGAAGTGAGCACGACCAGGGTGGGCATCCTTGAAAAAAGGTCCCTTCCCCGACCCGCTCGGCCCCGTCCCTCCACCAAGAGGCGGCGCTGTGGAGGATCCTCCAGGGCCTGCTGAGATGTGTGCCCTTAGGCCAGGGCAAAAGAGTCCTCGCCTGAAATCTCGCAGCGGCGCGGCCTTGATATTCTTGCACGGGCCCAGGAGATGCCTGGGCGTCTCTGTGCAATCTGACCCGCAGCGCGTACAACATAAAACTGGGACTCCCGACTTTTCGATCTGTGCAGCCCACAAGCTGTGAAATCTCTCGCTGGTGGTCGGGCCTCGAATGAGTTCCCCAAATGATGGGGCAAAAGCGCAGCACTTCCCGCCACAGGGCGGGTTCCTGAAAGAGCGAGCGCAACGAAACACACTGCCACATTCTTCCACATAACACAGTGCCGCTGGATGTCTTGGGGGGGTGGCCTCTGGGTTCGGACCTTGAACAGGGGTCCGTGCATTTCTCTGGCAGGGGCCAGGACTCTGAAATTGAAACAGCAACCTTGGAAGCCGCAAACCATCCGTCCAAGGTATCCTTCTACAAGCTCGGCATCCTGGGGGACCGCAAAAACACGGGCTGCTTCACGGCACATAGTGTCAGTCCAGGCGTTTCCAATCACAAGTAGGTGTTCGGCCCACTCCCGATCCCCACTTACCAACGATTGGTGAGCTTTAACTTTAAGTATACTGAACTCTTTGTCTGACTTCTGGGTCTGGCGCCAGTGACCAGTCTGCTGGGTGGTCCCGTCGAACGCTCTGAAAGAAAAGGCGCAACCTGTGATCAGTGCGCTGCAATCGGCGTGGATCTCTATCTCGTCCTCGCCTATCCTAGCGGGGTCCTGCCATAGATGTTCGATAGCTTCCAAAAGATCGCGATGTTCGGCCCAGGTCGCACTTTGGGGGCAGTTGCATGGAAGTGGGCCTCGAGCAACTCTTTTCAGGTCTGCGCCCGCGGTGATTTCTGTCGCAGTCCAGCCCGCACGGGCTAGGAGAGGCTACGTCGGCTCCAAACAACTCCCGTCGATGAAAACCTTCGTAGGGCCCGTGACATCGAACGGATCAATCTCCCCCGACCTGCCGATGTACTCTACGATATCCTCCTCGGGCGGAGGCTGATCTCTCGAACTGGTATCCAGAGGCTGGTGTACAAGGGGTCCTTACCTACGGAAATCCTCGCGGCCTGAATAATGATATCATCTACCTGCGCACGGGCTGACTCACCGTGGGGGCAGTGCCAAAGCCTGTGAAATACAGTGTCGCACAGGCCGCAATACTGGCAGGTAGGCTCCACCTGGCATCCTCTCTTCCAGAGAACGTGACTGCTGGGGAGGGTCCCGCAAACCAGACGTTTCAGAATCCCCTTTTCCTCAAAGCTCCATCTGACGCTGTTCCAAGCCTCGCTGAAACGGATATCCCCCATAGACCTCCTCCTCCCCCCCCCCCTCCTCTCCCGGCTCCCCCCCCCCTGAGTGCCCCCCCCCCCCCCCCCCCCCCGAGTGCCCTCCTCTCGGCCTCCCCCCTCTCCTCCTCCTCTCGGCCTCCCCCCCCCCGAGTGCCCTCCCGACCCCTCCGCACGGACGTGATGAAGTCGCGGCAGGCCGCGGGCCCCCCCGTCGCCCGAGAAGAGGCGGGGGGGCAGGGCGCGTGCGTGGGACCCCGCGGCCGTCCGGGCGCCCTGGGTCGCTCCGAGAGGGGAGGCGCAGAGACGTACCGGTACTAGATGTCCTCCTTGGAGGCGCGCGTCCGACCGGAACATACAGTGAAAACGTATAGTAAGGACGCGTGATAAGGAGGCAAGGCCCGTGGAGGCCGAAGTTAACTTTTTGGAGCGGGGGGGGGGGCCAGTGGAAACGGCGAAGGACGGGCCACAGAGGCAAGGACACAAGGGCACCCTAGATGAAGGCGCGCGTCCTTACTAGGCGCGTTGACTGTACAATATACCCATCTTGTAATACATCGTTTCCCGAGCGGTGTGGCCCGACAGCGCCCGCCACGACGTATATACTGCAAGATTTCTCGGCGCGCGCGCCGCCCCTGGGGGGGCGACGCACATACAATATAAGTATGTTGGGGTGACGCCGATGAGAACACACTGGGTACGGCAAATTCGGGTCGTGACGACACCGGCGTCGGTTCCTGGCACCGCGGGGATCGTTCAGACGTGAACGAGCGAACGTTCCGTGGACGTCGGATCGTTTAACGACGGGCCGACTCTGGGCCACGGGCGGCGTTCAGCCTTAAACGCACGCGGTGGGGTCGCCATCGGTCGGCACGACGAGAATCCTGCCGTAGTCT